TCCTGTCTACGGCCGGCACTTAATTACTTCTGTCCCTGAAGACAGCTCCGCTATTATATTTGACATGAAAAAGTATTGCGGTTGCAACAATGTATCTATTTGTATCAATTTCGGATACAGATGGTTTTATTCGGATACAAATGGATACATTGTTGCATCCGCAATACTTTTTTATGTCAAATATAATAGCAGACTGGAATTCTTTTTCTTCTTCTTTTTCTTCTTCTTGCAGGTGACGACTCATGCTCATATTTTTTATCGGTAAAAAGATTGGCCAATTTGCCCATCATTGCCGGGAAAATCAGCCGATTTTTTCCAACTTCACCGTAAAAAAAGTGCCAAAATCCCAAAACATGGCCAACCAATTAACCCACTAACGTTGCGAAAATCGGCCGATTTTTGTTTTCGGCCAAAAAATTGGCCAATTTTCAACCCGTCTATGGCCTGCATAAACAGAGCATGCGCATGCCTACAGTTCAGTCTTGAGATAAGAGGTGGTTGCTTGAAAAAGGGGAGGAACAGAGAAGAAAGGATCAAACAGTGTTTTTACACAATGCAGAGGATTAACCCCTCAGGTTCCACAGTGAGTATAACAAGCATGTTTTACTTCATATACAGACTGATTTTACTGTTGTGGGTTTAGTAACACTTTAAGCTTCTTCGATGATTCATAATCAGCACTTGCTTTGCGCAGGTGTATCCTCAAGTGTTCTTCATGTTGGCAAAACTGCAGTACATTATTTGACCAAAATATTGGCCACGGTCCCACATGGTCTTGCACAAATCAGCGTGTGAACTGAAGTGACACTAATGAATGTAGGAGCGGTGTCCTAATCCTGAGATTTGGTTTCAGCAAAGCTCTGATTTCTCCTTTCATGTTTGTTGATGGATAAGAACTCTTGCACAGATTTCAAAGTGTTTGGACAGTGCAGTCATTTTTCTGTTTTCACTTTCACAATGAACCCATGGCCAGACTATGGACATTTCAATATTAAAGGGGAACTTTACCCATTACAACTTGATACAAAATGAAGTTCTTGAGCAAGGAATATACATTCTACATTAATAATGATGCTACCACAATTAGTGTGTGCTGTAATTGCCTCCAGTATCGCTCCTCTTCCTGTTGCTGAAGGCTGCTGTTTTGATGAAGCCCAGAATCCTGAGCAGCAGTAAATCTTTAAGCTGTCAGCAGATCAGCCTTTAGATGTTAGGCACAGTGCCAAAAAATAGAGAGCAACTGAGCATGTGCAGAGCAGGGTGAGACATTGTATTACTGGATCTCACACAGCGTATGCACTTCTTTTTAATGTTTTACATCTCTATACAGCCTGAAGTCACCTAGCAGGACTTAATTTACTGGCTACAGTTCCACATTAACATATTCTTAAATTGATTGGAAAGGTATTTTGTTTACTAAAATAACAAACATACTTACCTGCTCTGTGCAATATCATCAAACCTGCTCTTTTGGGGTGCCCTGCTGACACTCCTCGTCTAAGTTTGCCCACCATAGCAAGTCCCTGCTATGGGGGCACCCCTATGGGCTCCCCCCCAAGCCAAGCTGTGTGCGTCCATTGTCTGCCCGCCCCCCTCCCCTGTTCTCTGCTCACAGGAGGTTTGATTGTCAGCAGCAGGAGCCAATAACCCCTACTGCTGCCGAGCATCCTGTGAGAGAGGGGAGAGAAGAGCAGAGCTGCTGTAGATGTGCACAGCAGCGCTGGATCAAGATTGGGCTCAGGTAAGTATTTCAAGGTGACTGGGGGGGAACTGACAAGGAAAGGGTTTTACCTTTTTGGAGAGAATGCATTAAGGTAAAAAAAGTTTGCCTTTAGAACCACTTTAACTCTGGTGTTTCAGTGATTTGGTGCTTCTTAGCATGATGTAAAAAATAGGAGCACTGATACTTACCTTCATCCTTACATCCTTACCTTCAGTCTTGCACAGCTGTACGGGCTCCTCCCCTGCACTGAATTATTTTTGATCTCACTGTACACTGTAAGCTTCTCACAGTGTGCATTAGAAGCTGCAGAAAGTAAAACGGAATCCATCTTATTTCCGTAATGGAGGACATCCAGCATCCTCAATCGCTTTGCTCCCTAACCTAGACCATTTCATTCATTAGACATCAGTCCTTTCAATCAGGAAGGCTCAGCATCACAAGTGGGTGCTACCCACTGCAGTGTAAATGCAAATACAGTCTGCCTAGGAATGCCCACTCATCCAGCCTTACCAGTCCATCAAGACATTTTGGTATCTGCATAACTCCTCCCATGAACCAGCCCACTGCTTGCATTAGGGCTGAGCCCCTCTAAGAGGAGTACAGAGGCAAGGTGCTATGATGTTTCCAGGAAGCTATGCACAGTACCCTGCCAGCCCTTCCCACCAGCCATGATCTGTCCACACTGCATAGAGAAGCACAGAGATCTAGGGATGATATCAGTGGGTCTAAAATAGGGTATGTAATGAAAACGGGAATGTTTTTATTTAAAAACATAATTAGCATGTTGATGGGGGGAGAACCCGGGAATGCAAAATAGGCAGATTAAACCTCAGCTTTAGGCAGAAATCAGCTTTCCACTACAAAATATACAGTATTCCACATATAATAAAGCTTGGATCCTGTTTGTGAATAATTATACTTTGTATACTTTGTAACATGTTTATTGTACACTTTGTAGCTATACTTTGTATACATTTGTATACTTTGGAACATGTTTATTGTATATATTGTAGCTATACTTCTTATTTGTAGCATGTTTATTTTATACTTTGTAAACATTTGCATACTTTGCAGCTATACTTTATACATTTGTATACTTTGTAGCATGTTTTTTGTATAATTTGTAGCTCTACTTTGTATACATTTGCATACTTTGTAGCATGTTTATTGGATACTTTGTAGCATGTTTATTGGATACTTTGTGGCTATTCTTTGTATAAATGTGTATTCTTTGTAGCATGTTTATTTTATACTTTGTAAACATTTGTATACATTGCAGCTATACTTTGTATGCATTTGTATACTTTGTAGCATATTTATTGTATACTTTGTAGCTATACTTTGCACACATTTGTATACTTTGTAGCATGTTTATAGTATTCTTTGTAGCTATACTTTGAATACATTTGTATACTTTGCAGCATGGTTTTTGTATAATTTGTAGCTATACTTTGTATACATTTCCATACTTTGTAGCATGTTTATTGGATACTTTGTAGCATGTTTATTGGATACTTTGTGGCTATTCTTTGTATAAATGTGTATTCTTTGTAGCATGTTTATTTTTATTTTATACTTTGTATACATTTGTATACTTTGTAGCTTTGTTTACTGTATACTTTGTAGCTATACTTTGCATTCTTAAATTATACTTTGTAGCATGTTTATTGTATACTTTGTAGCTATACTTTCTATAAATTAGTATTTTTTGTAGCATGTTTATTCTATACTTTGTAGCTATACTCTGTATAAATTTAAATTCTTTGCAGCATGTTTATTTTATACTTTGTAAACATTTGTATACATTTGGATACTTTGTAGCTATACTTTGTATACATTTTCATACTTTGTAGCTATACTTTGTATACATTTTCATACTTTGTAGCTATACTTTGTATACATTTGCATACTTTGTAGCATGTTTATTGTATACTTTATAACTATACTTTGTATACATTTATATTCTTAATAACATGTTTATTGAAATGGGTGTTTTTTCCATATATCCCTTACCTTTTTATAACACAAACCTGTATAAATATGTGTATATAGCAATGTCCATGTAGAGAAATGTTCATTCCTCTAGGCACAGTGACACTGGCTGCCATACACATCTTTTGTACTACAGTCAGCAGGGGTTGAATGTAACCAGCTCTGACCATGGGAAGCTGGAGCTTACACTTCCCCTTTATGCTAGTTGTGTGAAAGGAAGAAACTCTTTCCTGCTCTACCCCTAGTCATTTCCTCCAGCACACTGAAAAACAGGTGTTAATAGAACACTGATTTATATGCAGACAGTATTTTCCTGTGAAATCTGAGAAAACAGTATGTTTTGTGAGCAGTTCTCTTGTTAATCAATGCTAAACAGTGTGTAAAACTCTCCATATTGGTGCATGTGTTATAGGACTACATCTAGCAACTGATTCCAGAAAAATGTGCACATAGACGACAGTCACCAAAACTAGCTGTTTTTGGGCCAGATTGGGCAACAATCTCATATCTATGATGGAAGATGGATATTAGATGGAAACTTTTGCGGGTGAACAACAGTATGTCAAGGGAGGGATAAGTCTGTCTCACCAGTTTAGAGCCAGGTTTACATCTGGACATGTCCTCCTGGAATTACTTTGAAAAGTTAGGACTCCCTTTATAAACTTCAGGTGACCGTCAACCTTCACAGACACAGCCTTTAGTGTCCAAGTGTATGCATGTATATCCAAATCTTTTTTTTTTTTTAAAGTTTTGGGTGGCGATAGAAGGGTTAAGCCGGCCATAGGTGGATTGAATCTTGGCTGGCTCAGCAGGGACCAGATGAAAATTGATCCATGTATGGACAAGCTGGTTGTACTGAAGTCGACCCATTGATTGACTTCAGTACAACCAGCCTGTCATATTTTTTTTTTTATGCAATCACTGCCAGCAAGTAGAGCCACTAGCAGTGATTATTGTGTTCTGCCGGCAAAGTGCTGCAGGAGTGCTTCAATGACTGTGTTGATGGGGGAATCAAGCAATTTTCTTTCCTTCCACCCCCCATGGAAGGAAAGAAAATTGTATAATCCATGACTTGTTTTAGAATTAAGGATGGCCTAAGGCAGCGGTTTCAAAATTGCAGCCTGGAGGCCAAATATGCATACCTTTATCTGGCTCTTGGGGCACTATTCCTCCCACTGATATGGGGCACTATTCCTTCCACTGACACGAACGATGGGGCACTATTCCTCCCACTGACACCAATGATGGGGCTCTATTCCCCCCCACTGACACCAACAATGGGGCACTGTTCCTCCCACGGATACCAACAATGGGGCACTATTCCTTCCACTGACATCAATGATGGAGCATTATTCCTTCCACTGACACTCATGATGGGGTACTCTTGCTCCCACTGACACCAATGATGGGGCACTATTCCTCCCACTGACACCAATGATGGGGCACTATACCTCTCACTGACACCAACAATGGGGCACTGTTCCTCCCATTGATAACAACAATGGGGCACGATTCCTTCCACTGACATAAATGATGGAGCATTATTCCTCTCACTGACACCAACGATGGGGGACTATTCCTCCCACTGACACTAACGATGGGGCACTATTCCTCCCACTGACACTAACGATGGGGCACTATTCCTCTCCACTGACACCAACGATGGGGCACTATTCCTCCCACTGACACCAATGATGGGGCACTGTTCCTCCCACTGACACCAATGATGGGGTACTGTTCCTCCCACTGATACCAACAATGGGGCACTATTCCTTCCACTGACATCAATGATGGAGCATTATTCCTCCCACTGACACCAATGATGGGGCACTATTCCTCCCACTGACACTAACGATGGGGCACTATTCCTCCCACTGACACCAATGATGGGGCACTGTTTTTCCCACTGACACCAATAATGGGGTACTGTTCCTCCCACTGATACCAACAATGGGGCACTATTCCTTCCACTGACATCAATGATGGAACATTATTCCTCCCACTGACACTGATGATGGGGCACTATTCCTCCCACTGATACCAACAATGGGGCACTATTCCTTCCACTGACATCAATGATGGAGCATTATTCCTCCCACTGACACCAATGATGGGGCACTGTTCCTCCCACTGACACCAATGATGGGGTACTGTTCCTCCCACTGATACCAACAATGGGGCACTATTCCTCCCACTGACACCAATGATGGGGTACTGTTCCTCCCACTGATACCAATAATGGGGCACTATTCCTTCCACTGACATCAATAATGGAACATTATTCCTCCCACTGACACTGATGATGGGGCACTATTCCTCCTAGTGACACTAACGATGGGGCACTATTCCTCCCACTGACACCAATTATGGGGCACTGTTTTTCCCACTGACACCAACGATGGGGCACTATTCCTGCTACTGACATCAGTAATGAAGCATTATTCCACCCACAGACACCAATGATGGGAAACTCTTCCTCCCACTGATCCCAGGTCATCGAACGTCTGAAGCACAGTAAACTGGCCTTTTGTTTAGAAAATGTGGGGGCCCATGGACTAAGGTGAACAGAGTTCAACCTCAAATCGTAGGAACCTGTCAAATGATAGCATGCCAGTGGCTCCATCAACTGCAGTTGTGGAATTCCCTGCCCTGATTCACTAACAAATGGGCAAGGATGCCAGTCATATCTTTGACCTAATATGGCCAGATGGTCACATTTGGTCTATGACATTGTCATTGGCCAAAGGCAAAGAATAGTACCCTAAAAAAAAAGTGCTTGTGAGATTAGTAAGAGAGTATCTAAGAACAATCATTTGGAATTTATCTTTCATTGACATAACTCAAAAATAAACTAAAAAAAAATGGATCTGGTTGGCTGCTTTGGACTGACACAGTCTGCACTGCATTATGTTTCTGAGTTGCCTTTTGGTTTTCAGTGTTTCTTTGCTTGTGGTCTTAGGATTTCAGTTTGCATAAGTTTCAGTAAATGCTATATTCATTGAGGCAAAGATGTAGCAGGAACTCTGAGTGTGACATTTTTTTTAGGCTATCCAACTTTCCAAAGAGCCTCCTGCACGGATCTGCTCTACTCCCCTGCAGGCGATATATAATAAAGCCAAACATACCCATTTCAGGCTGAACCTGAAAAAAATCAGTAGATTCCCACATCCACTGTAAACAGCATGCATGAAGGGTTCCCCACTGCTGGGTATTGAATTCTTACAGCTGACTCCCCCAGCTACTTGAAACCCGAACAGTCACTGCATCTGGCCAATAATTTCCCACCTGGAGCTTAGTCGATTTTTAAATGGACTTTTGCCAAGCCATTATGCCGACTAGACCACCCATTGCACAAATTTAGGATGATTCAGCAGAAATTGAATTAAATTCCAGCCGAAATGATATACCAAACATTTTTTTCCGACATACAAATTCACAAAGCTTTAAAGTATAACTAAAGGCAAAACTTTTTTTTTTTGAGTTTTGGATAGAGTAGAGAGGGATTAAAACACCTATTAGGTTTTTATTGCTGTCTGTGCCCCCGTTAGGGATTTCACTCTCTCTATTTGTCCTGTTTACCATTATCGTAGAAAGTGAAAGTAAAAGAAAATCCCAAATTTTGGGTTGTCCCTAGAAAAGTAATAGAGGGGAAATCTTCCAATGGGAACATTAGTTCTGGTGATCTGAAGGGCCCCAAGAGATACCCGTAATTTTCAGGGATTTCTTTTCACTTCCTTTTTTGGCTATGGGACAGGAAGTGAAGGTAAATCTCCCCAATGGGACAAAGAGGGCAAAAATAAATCTTATAGCGGTTATAACCTTCCCTTACTCTATCCAAAATTTAAAAAAAAAAGTTTTGCCTATAGTTCTACTCTAACATTAGGATAAGGGTTTTTCTGCATGACTAGTTCATCTTTTGGAGAACCTTATACAACGGGTTTTTTTGGCTTCCTGGGAGCATGGGGGGAATTGGCACTGATTTAGACTTGACCGTTATTGAGGAAGTGATGTATAAAATAGAAAATAACCAATCTAAAAAAAACAGAACTGAAATACTGTTTTTCTTTCAATTAGTCTGCTACTTAAAATTAACAACCCTGCCATTATAAATCACTTAGGTCTGTCAAGATGTGATAGACTAATGCTGGTGAAACTCTCCTGCACGGCAACATATTAAATGATATATATAAAGAGAGATATAACATGCTTTTAAGGAGCCAGTTGAGCTTTTCTAGGGCCAGTTCACACTACATGCGATCCAGTGCGTTTTTTTATGCATCAAAAATGCATTGATCGTAGGAAACATGATTTCCAATGGCATAGTTCACACCAGTGCAGTCAGTTCCAGTGTGTTCCAGTTCCAGAAAAAAAAAAGCAGAGCATGCTGCATTTTTTTCTGAACTGTACTGGAACGCAGTAAAACACATTACAAATGCACGTAAATGCACCTAAACGCACTGGAATGCACATGTTCTTATTAACACCCTGGTCACACCAATCCGTCACACAATTTCAAAGTCGGATGGTATTCCGACTTGAGATGTGACTTGAAAGACATCTGCAGGTTGCAAGACACAGATGTCTATGCAAGTCGCACCTAAAGTAGTGCATGTACTACTTTTCAAATCGTTGCGGCTCCGACCAAGTCGGAATTGCACTGATGTAATTGCAGACAATAGGGTGCAACTTGAATAACACAAAAAAACTTGCGCAAAAATTAAATAAATAAAAATAATCACAAATAAATAAATGTCCGTGCAATATATATATATATATAATATTGAAGTGAACAAACATAAGTCCTTATTTTCCCAAAAAGATTTTCAAGACAATGTTCCAAAATGTGCTTCCACCTAAAACCACGTGAAAAATACTATTGAACGCACTCACCAATGGAGGTGAGTAATAAGCCCCATAGGATATAAGGGATCCTATAGCCCCTCAGAGTAACACAAATCGCCTTCTTCAATGCTTAGATTCAGCAATCGACTCCACTCTACTTCTCCATGGAATCCTCAATAATTCAAGGAAAGAAAGGCTACATGTGTAAACTGCCACTCAATAAATATAAATCCATAGAATAAGGGCACTCACATGTTTCAAAAAATAACAGGCCTTGTTTAATAGCCTCAAAGGCTTCAAAGGCTGCAAGTTTCCAAATTGTAGGTAAGGATCTCACGCTTTAAGAATCACTGTAGAAGATGACCCTTTCCACCACTAAAATGACCGCTTGAACCGCAAAGTCGGCGTGCGTTCCAAATACCGGAAGTGACGTAGGCCAAGAGGTGACGGTATTCTCAAGACAATAGGGTGCAACTTCCAGCTGTTTTGCAAGTGACTGCATTACCCGGTGTGACTGGGGTCTTGATTGAAGAAAAAAAAAGAGGGGGGAAAAAAATGAACTGAACAATTCAAAAACGTGCATGCATGGAAAAACGTGTATACAGAAACACATCCGGAATGCATTCGGCTGCGTTTCTGTGGTGTGAACCAGCCCTTAAATATGAACTCCAGTAAACTTGACAAATCTCCCTTGCATTGGGGACTCATTTAGGTATAGGTTTACTTACCCAATCCTCCACTAGGTCCCTTCACAGTCTTCTGCTCCAGTGGTCTAATGACCAATGCAAGGTCTATAGTGACGGTCCAACACCAGCTCTGTCTAACGGGGAATTGGAGATCCGGGTAAGTAGAAGTGCTTTTACTCTACCCTAGAAAAAATAAGCAGTCAGCCTTTGCAGTGGAGACACAGCCCCCCTGTAAGGGAGATTTTTTCAATTTCCCAGAAATGGAATACCCCATAACAACCAGTCAGAATTCATATAATATATACTGATCTTACTTAAAGTGGAACTTCACTCTCTCTCAATCAACTTGGGCTATTTTTAATCTTTGTAATGCTAGCATTAGTAAATAGATAGGAAAATATATCATATTTATTAGTTTTAAACTTTTTACATTTCTTCAGTTACTTCCTGGATTCCTGCCTAGGCAAATTATGTCATACATCCCAGCAGTCTTCAGGAGGGGAGGGAGGGTTCTCAGCTCAGCCAATGCTTGCGCTAAAGGCAAATGATGGATTCCAGTATGTAAATGCTACATGAATCATCTGCCCTTACTCAAGATGGTCACTGCCAGAAATAACTAGGGGGTATTTTTCAAAATGATTTCTCAGCAAAATAATTAAATAACATTTTTGGTTTCTGGTGCTCAGATGCAGTGCAGTTCCACTTTAGGTAAACGTAAAACTGATTTGTTGCTATTGATTTCAGCACATAGCTCACTGCCAGGTTTACCACTGCCTTACAATGTGATCTTTCCTGTCTTCTTAAACTATACGGCAAAGAAAAGTTCAAAGGAAAAAAAGCGCACTTGTGCAATACATGCATGTCTTCTTGTATTTTATAGAGCGAAATAAAAACGAGAAGCGCACAAACCTTGCGCATTACCTCAGTAAACACAAATTTATTAATCAGAAAGGTACTCACAAACAGCGAATAAAATCAGGCATGTCAGTCCTCACAGGGACTTCAGAGATAGAGAGCCAGCGCGAGTCCCATCGTGGGGGTAAGCACTCAGTTCAGCTGACGCGTTTCGAAGGCCAAACCTTCTTCATCAGAGCTGACTGAACTGAGAGTGATCACTCTCAGTTCAGTCAGCTCTGATGAAGAAGGTTTGGCCTTCGAAACGCGTCAGATGAACTGAGTGCTTACCCCCACGATGGGACTCGCGCTGGCTCTCTATCTCTGAAGTCCCTGTGAGGACTGACATGCCTGATTTTTATTCGCTGTTTTTGAGTACCTTTCTGATTAATAAATTTGTGTTTACTGAGGTAATGCGCAAGGTTTGTGCTGCTTCTCGTTTTTATTTCGCTCTGTAGTGTTGGTCGGGCTTCCCCAGCCTTGTTTGGAGCTGCACAACCTTTGAAGCACTGGTGGTCGGTGTTTGTCCAGTTCTGGTTCCATCTATGTGCCACCCGCTTGGGTCCTTGAGCGCAGAAGAATTCGTGTTTGTTCTTGTATTTTATACCTTTAAAGACACTGCAAGTACAGAAGCAAGTACTTGTCGATCTGCCAAAAAAAGGTCTTGGCTCTTAAAGTGATTTTAAAGGCATTTAAAAAAAAAAATAACAAACATGTTATACTTACCTGCTCTGTGCAGTGGTTTTGTACAGAGCAGCACCAACACTCCTCTTCTCTGTCCCCTTTCTCCTGCCAAGTGCCCCAGCAACAAGCACCTTGCCATGGGGGCACCCAAGCCGGCACGCTCCCGAGCTGCTGTTCTAGATGTCTATTCACAAACAGCTGAGGCTCGGCCCCTCCCCCTCTCCTTCCTCATTGGCTCACTGGCTGTGATTGACAGCAGTGGGAGCCAGTGGTTCCTTCAGCTGTCTCAGCCAGTGAGGAGAGAGAGAGACACAGGAGACCCGAGGCTCGCATGCACATTGTTGAATTGAGAGGGGGTTCA